GAAAGAAATAGAAAAGATGACATAAATATTATGCAAATGCATATTATTTGAATTTATTTGTCTTTTTGAATTCATTCCTTTTAGCAATGTCATCTGTCATCCATTCATATAATTAATATTTCAAATTTATGCTTGTAAAGATGAAATGATTTTTTTTTTTTTTTTTAGTATCAAACAATGTAAATAATATAATTTAAAATAAATAAATTTACAAATAATTATCTTTTATATTATGCCAGGATTTTTCACATACTTTTAGGGTTTTCGTGATAAAAATAAGGATTTAATGCGACAAGAAGTATTAATGATGATCAAAAAAGTAAAAGTACATTTGTTCGAGGATTAGTTGGCAATGATCCGGTTGCAGTATTTCGATGGGGTATATTACGGGCAATTTTTCGGGCAAGAAATGCTTTTTGGCAAGCGGGAAAATTAGCGGAAAAAAGTAATTATTATAGTTGATATTGAAAAAAAAAATCTTTTTTTAATTAATAATTAAATGATGATAAATTATGTAAATCTTGAAATTTTTTCATTTCCATACAATTTAATTTGATTGATTGTGAAAAATTTGAAATGTTTGAAGGAAAATTTTTTTTTAATTTAAAATATAAAAATAAAAATTTAATTTTTTCTAAAAAAAAGGTTCTACGTCTTTAATTAATAATTAAATGATGATAAATTATGTAAATCTTGAAATTTTTTCATTTCCATATAAATTAATTTGATTGGTTGTGAAACGTTTGAAGGAAATTTTTTTTTAAATTAATTTAAAATTTTGTTTTATTTTTTAGAAAATATGGAAGAATCCAAATTATCACATCATAAAAAGGCAGCATTAAGTGGATTTAGTTCGGATACTCATTTAAATGCTTTCTTACGTGGTGAAATAAGCCAAGAAATGGTACCACCATTTTGTGATACATCATTTTTCACTACAATTGTTAGCCATGTACGAAAACAACCAAATATACAAGTGGAAGATTGTCATAGCGCTTTGAAAAGCTTACAGGTTAATTAATTTTAATTAATAATATTTTTGATATTAATTTATATTTGAAGCAAACTTACAAATTTTTCTTTTTTTGTTTTTTCTACAATTTTTATTACATTTTTTTTAGGCAGTGAAAGCTTTTTCGGAAAAGAAAAGTATAACCGGAAAACCATCTTCGGTTGGTAAACAATTTCAGCATTCATTATCACGATTAATGAAAACATTATCTCAAGCAACACCTTATTTTATCAGATGTATTAAATCTAACAACGAAAAGGTTTATCATTCATTTGATCTTTCCTATTAGATTCAATAATTGATCAAATTTTAGCATTAGACGCTGATACAAACAGTTATTACTGTATATATTATGCCAAGTTTAAATATTGCTAACATTATTGGCCAAGCAATAATAATACATTTTATGTATTTAGCCATGATTTAAATAAACTTTTAATAATAATTAGAGAGTATAAATCATTGAAAAATATCCATGATAAATTCAATTCTGATATTAATTAAAAGTTTAAAAAAATTTTGCTAAGAAATTTAATGATAAACAAATATGAGCTAAATACCTTGTATTTGCAGTATTTGTAGTGAAATACAACAAATGTTTACAAATCTAATTTTTGCTTTTTTTTTTAATTTTTAAATAAGATTAAATTTTTTTGAAATAGATAATAAATAACGCATATAGGAAATAATAGAGAAATTATAAACTGGTAATTTACAGATTCCGAATCATTTTGATGATAATATTATTTTACGACAATTACGCTATACAGGTATGCTTGAAACGGTACGCATACGTCGAGCTGGTTATAGTGTTCGTATTGAATATGAGGTTAGCGAATTAATATTTAAGTATTTAAATATTTTTTTTCCAAATTTTAATTATAAATTGCAATTTGTTACTTGCAAATGTATAAAGAATGGAGAAATTTTATTAATTGTTCCTTTTTTTTCTTTAAATTTTAATTATAAATTACAATTTATTGCTTACAAATGTATAGAGAATGAAGAAATTTTGTTAATTTTACCTTTTTTCTTTTTTTTTTAAAGGATTTTATCAAACAATATCGAATGCTTTTACCGAAAGGTTGTGAAAGTACCACAGAAGATGTTAAGGAATTTATCATGCAACATGCATTAATTGATAATAATGAGGTGCAATTTGGAATCACTAAAGTAAGTATTTTTATTGATAAATTAATAATTTAAATTATCAAAAGTTAACTTTAATTTTAATATTTTGAAGAATAATGGAATGCAACAGGTAACAATAAAAATTATCCATTTTTATTTTTCAGGTATTTATGCGTGATGCTGAGAAATTAATTCTTGATGATCATCTTCATCGAGTAATTATGAAGCATATTGAAACATTACAAGGATGCATTCAATCATTGATAATAAGGCGTAAATATATCAAATTACGTAATACAGTTATTGCAATACAGGTATGTATTGTATATTTGACAAAAA